GGGCTAAGATAGGAGTATAGTTGGATCAGCACAAAACTGTAGAAGGGAGAAAAGAAAAGTAGGCAAAATCTACTGATGCAGTAGAAGTCCACAGCTAATGCATGAGCTGTGTTCCAAAAAAGAATTTATAAAATCAGTTTGGAACTCAGGTCCCATTTTCCTATAGGAATAATGGCAGAAAATGGGGGTTAGTTCCCAGGCAGGGAGCTGAAGCTCATTTGCTGCAGAGTCTAGGGCTCTGGGACAGTACTTGCTTGAGGTGCAGCTCTAAGTTGCAGTCTGTGGATAGCCATTCAGTGGCTATATAGCCTTGGTTTCCTTACCTATGAAGGGGACCATCACTTATTTGGAAGGTTGATGTGAGGAAATTGATCAAACTCCTGACACAGAGTAGTGATCTCTCAGTGGTAGCTGTTGAATTTTTGCAGAAGGTTTTTTTTTTTAGTAATCTAGTCTTGCATTAAGTAGATAGGTTATTTGCTGCATGATATAGTGAATGAATTACTACTGAGTGCACGAGACCTGAACTGAACCTGGCAGGGGTATTACTATTGGAAGTTGAGGATTGCCTTTACTCACCTTCACATTCAGTTTAAATTAAAACATGCTGGGCAGTCCTGGCTGGATGGCTCAGTTGGAGTGTTGTCCCATATACAAAAAGTTTGGGTGTTCAATTCCTGGTCTGATTGCATATTGGAGGCAACCAATCCAACCAATCGATGTTTCTCACATGAGTGTTTCTCTCTCTCTCCCTTCCTCTCTGAAAAAAGAAAAAAAAATCAATTAAAAACATATCCTTGGGTGAGGATTAAGAAGAAGAAAAATGTGCGAGACACATTATCAGGCTCATGTCATCTAATTGTTCCAACGGTCTTGTATAGTAGATACCGTTATCCCCATATTTGAAAATATATTTTTATTGATTTTATACAGAGAGGAAGGGAGAGAGAGAGTTAGAAACATCGATGAGAGAGAGTCATCGATCAGCTGCCTCTTGCACACCCCCTACCGGGGATATGCCCGCAACCAAGGTATATGCCCTTGACTGGAATCGAACCAGGGACCCTTCAGTCCCCAAGCCGACGCTCTATCCATTGAGCCAAACCGGTCCCGGCAATATTTGAGATGAAGAAACAGATCTGTCGAGTTTACATAATTTCCCCCAAGATCGTTAAAGCTTGGAAGCAAATAGAGTTGGGGGTTCAAGTTCTGACTCAGAAGTGCACGCTGTTTGCACTGGCCCATGTACCCCCACAAAGATACAGTGTACCAACAGATAAATGTTCCATGTTACTTGCTCACTTCTTAGATTATTTGAAGTTTGGCCCTCTTCCCCGCCCCCCCCCCCCCCCCCCATTTCTTATTCTAAGGTAAAAAGCAATTTGGGTTGGATCTAATCAATGAAACCAAAACAAACCAATTTGCACCTGGGCCCAGAAAGAGGGCTGTTATAGGTTATGAGAGTTTGTGGCTAGGAACAGATAGTATGTTGCAAGGCGGGAGGAAGTTCTTCAGATTCTTAGTTGTGTGATATTTTTTTAGAAACCAGTTTGAAAGGACATTCAATTTTGGTTGATTAGGAGGTAGCTTTGTGTCAAGGTTGCCACTAGACTATAAAGTATGAAAATCAGGATTTGGTTTCAAGTAGTGATGTATATAGGTTCAGTAATCAGTTTCATATGACTGCCTGCCTACAAGGTACCAGGTGCTAGCTTAAGCAGCTGGGGAGATGAAAGTCCCTGCCCTTCTGTGAAGATTTCTTATATACAATGTAATAAAATGTATACAGAGATAGGCATAGGGCAGTGGTTGGCAAACCATAGCTCTAGAGCCACATGCAGCTCTTTGGCCCCTCGAGTGTGGCTCTTCCACAAAATACCATGCCCTGAGAGAGTCTACTTTGAAGAAGTGGCATTAGAAGAAGTTTAAGTTTAAAAAATTTGGCTCTCAAAAGAAATTTCTGTCATTGTACTGTTGATATTTGGCTCTGTTGACCACTGGCATAGGGTATTATGCACAAAGAAAAATCTTATGTATTTTATTAATATAATTAACCAAGGGACCAGCTGCCTGATTGCCAATGGCCCTTGGCTGATTGCTATAACTGCCCGCATTCTCTGTCTGGAACAGTTAAGAGTATAGGGGCCTTTAACAGCCAGCCCTGTCCTTGGTATCTTTCTCATCTTTGCTGATGCCCTGGACTATAGAAGTGTGCTATGTGCAATGACAGGCTCTACCTGCACAAGGAGACCAGGAAGTCACAGGAGTATTTTTTTTTAAATATATATTTTATTGATATTTTTACAGAGAGGAAGGGAGAGAGATAGAGAGCTAGAAATGTCGATGAGAGAGAAACATCAACCAGCTGCCTCTTACACACCCCCTACTGGGGATGTTCCTGCAACCAATGTACATGCCCTTGACCGGAATCAAACCTGGCACCTTTCAGTCTGCAGACAGACACTCTACCACTGAGCCAAACCGGTTTTGGCAGTAGTCTTGAATTTTTATTTTCAGCAGACTATATCATACAAGGACTAATTTTTTAATAATTTTTGCAAAGTTCTACCTCTAGGTAGTGTAGTTTGAAGACTAAAAATGGAATCATTTTCAAAACTATATATTTAAATGACTGAATGAATTGATTGGTTCATAAATTTCTCTTACTGCTAACCACTTTACTTATAAAGTGATGAATTATAAGTGATTTGTCCTAATGTGTGCTAAATTATAATGATTTACATTATCAGTCCAAAAGGGGGAAAAAGAGGGGCGTATCTGTAATACTCTCAACAATAGATTTTTTTTTAAAAAGCAATAGAAGATTTTCTTGATAAATGCACAAAAAAAAAATCCTAGAAAAACAACTGTAGGTATAATTATGTCATTATATAAAATAATTACATATTTAATTATGTGTGTACTAGAGGCCCGATGCATGAAGTTTGTGCATTTAGTGGGGGAGGTCCCTCAGCCTGGCCTGTGCCCTCTCGCAGTCTGGGAGCCCTGGGGGGATGTCCAACTGATGGCTTGAGCCTGAGCCATCAGTTGGACATCCTTAGTATTGCCATGGTGGCGGGAGAGGCTCCCAACACTGCTGCTGTGCTCACCAGCTGTGAGCCCGGCTTCTGGCTGAGCTGTGTTCCCCCTGTAGGAGTTGATTGACCACCAGGGAACAGCTCCTGCATTGAGTGTCTGCCCCCTGGTGGTCATCATGCATCATAGTGATCGGTCATTCCACAGTTTGGTAATTTGCATATTAGCCTTTTATTATGTAGGATGTTTCCAGATCTTGCTGAGATGTCAAACAGCATGGCTCTGACATATACTTTTTTAAAAAAATTGATTTCAGAGATGAAGGGATGGGGGGGGGGGGGGGGAGAGAAATCATTGATCTGCTGCCTCCTGTATGTCCCAGACATGTTCCCTGTCTGGGAATCAAACCATAATCTCCTGGTTCATAGGTTGACACACTGGCTGGGCCATATATTATTTTAAATTAAAAATTTGAATAATCAAGTGACCATTTAACTTTTCACTATTACTAGTATTTCAAACTAACTCAGTGGTGGTGACTTGCTACACCTTTCATTGGTGAATGGTGTTTGCTTATAGATTGTTTGGTTTTGGTGTCACGAACTCACAATCTTACTCCACCTTGTATAATCTGTGTTTAAAACAAATGGAACTGCCCGGCAGTATGGCTCAGCTGTTTAGCATCAATCCCAGGAACCAAGAAATTGCTGGTTTGATTCCCAGTCAGGGCACTTGCCCAGGTTGTGGGCTTGATCCCCATTAGGGGGTGTACAGGAGGCAGCTGATTGATGATGTTCTTCTCTCATCAATGTTTCTCTCCCTCTTCCTTTCTCAATAAAAATATGTTTTAACAAAAAATGGAATAATGTACTATCTTTGTACATTGAAGTGGGAAAACCAGAAAATATTCACTTTGTAATTAAATCTAGATTAGTAAAATAGAAATGAAATCTAAAAATGACAAGTTGATCTTTTTACAGAATCTACAGTTGACCCTTGAACAACTTTAGGGTCAGGAGTGCTGACCTCCTGAGCAGTTTAAAAGCAGTGATAACTACAGTAGACCCTTTATATGCCCAGACTCCCAACTGCAGAATTAATCCCTGAATAGTGTGGGTTTGAACTCCATGGGCCAATTGAAAACATATAAGCAGACCCTTGCAGTTCAAAACCATGTTATTCAAGAGTCAACTGTACGTAAATATATAAAATGTTCTGCCAAAGTTCTTTTCCAAAACATAGTGGTCTTTACTTTCCTGTGAGAATCACAGGGTACATGAATGCCTCTTCCGGGGCTTCCATTGGCAACTCCAACATATAGGTCTGATGAGGCCCAAGATCATGCCAAGTGTATCTATCTGATAAGAAAATCAAGGCCATATTTAGAGACTTGCATTTAGGAACAGAAGACAGCATACAACCTGGGGACTCTTAAAGATAAGCTGGGTTTCTGTTCTAGACCCTTCAGGATGACTCCAGAAAAATGGTTAGGTGCATGTCTTCAATTTCGCTGCCTTATTCCATAATTACATTTTCCTGAATTTCATCAGTACTCTAAGAATCCAAAAGGCTATCTATCCCCTTGCAATACATATCTTATCACTCATTTCTGTACTTTGTATTAACTGTTTGAGTTGCACTAGTGAGAAGAGTTACACCAGGTGCTTTTCTGCCAGACTGATGCAGGTGTGAGATACTTAGCACACAGCTTAGCAAGCACAGTTCACCCTTGTGAAGATGCTGTGTGTGGTAGAACAGCTAACAGTAGTGATCTGTGAAGTGGGAACTAGGGTTTGGAAGAGTTGTGCAGGACTAAGCAAAATGCAGATCCTGGTACCCCCTGCAGGTCAGGAGTAAGTGTGGGGCCAGGAGAACCAGGGCAAGAGTCACTTTACATTTTCATAAATTATATAAATTCATGTTCTCTCTCCACCCCCGTCCCTCTCCCAGAACTGTGTGTACCGATGGATGTGGCTGAGAGCCCTGAACGGGACCCTCGCTCTCCAGAGGACGAAGAAGAGGAGCATCAAGGGCTCTCAGAAGATGACATTCTGAGAGAAAGTGGGTCAGATCAGGATTTGGACAAAGCTGCAGGGAAGGCTTCTGATTTGGAGGATGAGGAAAATGCTGTCCTGGGACTGAGTCAGGAGGAAGAGGAAAGTCGCTCTGATGAAGAGGATCAGGACCAGGACTCTGAGCCTCAGGAGCTGAACAGGGGCCCTACGAGCCCCCCTCATGCAGAGGAAGGAGATGGGGGGGAAGAAGACCGCACAAGTGACCTGAGGGACGAGGCCTCCTCGGTCACCAGGGAACTGGATGAGCATGAGTTAGACTATGATGAGGAGGTTCCTGAAGAGCCAGCCCCCGCTGGGCAGGAGGATGAAGCAGAAAAGGCTGGGGCAGAAGATGATGAGGAGAAGGGAGAAGGAGCTCCCGAGGAGGAGGGAAAGGCTGATGTCCACAGTGTGGAAGAAAAGGAGCCCCTGGAGGCTGCCAAGGAGAAAAAAAAAGAGGATGACGATGGAGAGATTGATGATGGGGAGATTGACGTGAGTATCCCTGGGGTGCATATGCATGTAGATAGTGCCCAGAAGGACTTCTTGCCACCAACCACACCTTGGCCTGCTGCCAGGGGGAGAGCTCGCATAGGATTAACTTAGCCTCATTTCAGAACAAGGAGGTGGGATGGAGGAGAGCAGGAAAATGAGAGGATTGTCTGGGAGCAGTCACCATGGTAATTAGGAAGTGCTAAATTCAAAGAGAAGTGGTCTAGATTCAGAAAACTTCTGCCAGTTGATACCTGGTAGAATTTCCATGGACCCTCATTCATCTATCTGGTGCTATATTAGAATGCCTGGCCCAAATTTTTTAATTATTATTTATTTCAGAGAAGAAGGGAGAGGGAGAGAAATATAGAAACATCAATGATGAGAGAGTATCATTGGTTGACTGCCTTCTGCCCACCCCCCACTGGGGATCAAGCCCGCAACCCAGGCATGTGCCCTTGATCAGAATCGAACCCATGACCCTTCAGTCCATTGGCTGACACTCTATCCACTGAGCCAAATCAACCAGGGCAGTTTTGGATTTTTTTTTTTTTTTTTTGACAAGTGGATAGATAATTTCTCCTTTTATCTTTGCTATCTTTAAATCCTAGTTGAGTTGAATTCTACCAGAACCATCATGAATCTGCAGTCCTAATCAGGTTCTTGAGGGTCAGAGCAAATAATCAGAGTTTTTAAAGTTCCCCAGGGAAGGAAACATCACAGTAAAAGGTGTGTAGAATATCTCTCAGAAATGTTTTGTATTGGGAGGGAAAAGGTTACTAGTTAAATACTTAACCACAGGTTTACTGTAAGTACCACACTTCTGTAATAGCTTGTGGTGGTGACCATAGTGTGCTTAGTGAATTTGAGGGTTTTAGACATTGCTTTTCTGACTTTAGTTCATAAGAACAGAACTTTACAGGGTATGTGTGGGGTTATAAGCTTAGAATTTTAGATTTTTTTTTTTTTATCATCTTTGTTTAATATATTTTATTTTCATCTTCTTAGAGAGAGAGGAAGGGAGAAAGAAACCTGGATTCAGCTGCCTCCCTCACATGCCTCAACAGGGATTGAACCCACAACCCAAGTATGTGCCCTTGGCTGGGAATATAACCCACAATTCTTTCATGTACAGGACGATCGTCCAACTAACTGAACCGCCTGGCCAGAGTTATTACCTTACTTAAAAGGGTGTTGTTGGAACATTATCATGCAGGTTCCCTTAGGTTTTGCCAGCTAGGCTTCCCTTCCACTTTGGAAAAGTTCAGCTCTGTCACAGGGTTGGCAAAGGGAAACATGGTGTCATAACACTCAACTTAATCAATTTGGATGAAATTTTGACCAGAAAATGGTCGTTGGTTGAGATTTCTTGTGAATTTGGTGTTTTAGCCACTAGGGAATGTTGGAGAGCTCCAGATAGTGGCCTAAGGGTTCTAGACAGTTCATTTCCCATTAAGAGAGGACCAGTCATGAACTCACCTTGCTTCAACTGTTGAATAAGTCCTTTTTAAAAAAAAAATTTATTGTTGAGATTATTACAGATATCCCTCTTCTTCCCTCTCCCCCCCATTGCCCCCATCCACCCAGTTCTTGCCCCAGGCCTTCGTCACCCTATTGTCTTGTGTCCGTAAGTAATGCATATCTATCTATCTATCTGTCTATCTATGTATATAAAAGCCTAAGTGACCTTGAGACCAGTCGACCAAACAACCAGTTCACTTGTCTCTATAATTTGCACTGACTACCAGGGGTCAGATACAATGCAGGAACTGCCCCATGGTAATCAGTGTGCTACCACAGCCAACCTCCCGTGGCTCACCAACTTCCCACAATCCCTCTCTGGCTGGTCAGCTGGGTGGTCAGTGCACCTCCACAGCCAGCTAACCTCCCTGCAGTCCTTTCCCCAGCTGGCCAGCCCTGATTGGTCCCAGTTGGGACTGGGTGAGATGGCCCAGATCAGTCCCAGTCTCCCACCTGGCCAAGGGACCCCACCCATCCATGAATTCATGCACCGGGCCTCTAGTATGCATATAAGATCTTTGTTTAATCTCTTCCCACCCCCTCACTCCCCTTCCCTCTGAGAATTATCAGTCTGTTCCATATCCATGCCTCTCATTCTATTTTATTCACTAGTTTATTCTGTTTATTAGATTTCTTATTCATTTATTTTGATTTTTAGATTCAGTTGTTGATAGGTACGTATTAGTTGCCATTTTGTTCATATTTTTTATCTTTTTCTTTTCTTTTTTTTTTTCTTCCTCTTTTTAAAGAATACTCTTAAGCATTTCTTATAATACTGGTTTTGTGGTGATGAACTTCTTTAGCTTTTTCTTGTCTGTGAAGCTCTTTATCTGAATTTCCATTCTAAATGATAGCTTTGCTGGGTAGAGTAATCTAGGTTGTAGATCATACTGTTCATCACTTTGAATATTTCTTACCACTCCTTTCTGGCCTGCAGAGTTTCTGTTGAAAAATCAGCTGACAGTCGAATAAGCATTCCCTTCTATATAACCAACTGCTTTTCTCTTGCTGTTTTTAAGATTCTCTCTTTGTCTTTAGCTCTTGGCATTTTAATTATGATGTGTCTTGGTGTGGTCCTCTTTGGATTTCTCTTGTTTGGGACTCTGCCCTTCCTGCATTTGTAAATATTTCTTTCACCAGGTAGGGGAAGTTTTCTGTCATTATTTCTTCAGGTAGGTTTTCAATATCTTGGTTTCTCTCTTCTTCTTATATCCCCATAATGTAAATGTTGGTATGTTTGAAGTTGTCCCAAAGGCTCCTTACACTGTCTTCATATTTTTGGATTTTTTTTCTTTTTGCTTTTCTGCTTGGGTGTTCTTTGCATACTCGTATTTCAAATTATTGGTTTGATTTTCAGAATCCTCTAGTCTACTGTTGAATCTCTATAAATTATTCTTTATTTCAGTCATTGTATGCTTAATTTCTTTTCCTTCTTTTTTTTTTTTTTTTTTTAGGTTTCTAGAAGATTCTTGAGTAACCTTATAACCGTGGTTTTGAACTCTATATCCAGTAATTTGCTTTCTTCCATTTCTTTCACTTGTGGCATGTTTCTTTGTCTCTGCATTTTGGCTGCTTCCCTGTGTGTGTTTCTGTGTATTAGGTAAAGCTGCTATGTCTCTTTGAGTTGGTAGAGTGGCCTTGGGTAGTAGGTATTCTATAGGGCCCAGTGTCTTAGCCTCCCCAGTCATCTGGGCTGGGAGCTCTAGGTGCATCCCTTTGTGGGCTGTGAGCACAGTCTTGTAGTTGAGGCTTGATTGCTATTGGTGACACTGGAAGGAATTGACCTCCAGGCCAATTGGCTGCGAAGACCAGCAGCGACTACAGTGGGAGAACTCTTGTACAAGAGACACTTGGACTTGCTTGTGGAGCAGGACTTGCTTCAGTGGGGCTTTGGTGCTCACTGAGTCTGCCCCTTGAGTGTGTTGCTTAGGGATGCCTAGATTTGTAATCTGGTATGGTCTGGTACTAAACGCTGGATACACGGGTTCTTGGGTTTCCAGGAAGGTACAAAATCAGCTCCCTGCCCCAGCTGCAGCTTGAGAGATTTTAGTCTGGGTGACTAAAATCCTTTCATATACAAAAGCCACTACACACAGCTTGGGTGGGGTTGTAAATTGGATGAGGCAGGGTCTTCGGGAATCAGCAGGGTGGAGAAAATAGAAATGGCTGCCAGTCAACTCTGTGACTGGGAAAGTCCCAGCATAGGAATAGTGATCCTTGTGAGCACCTCTGTCTAAGAGAAGGCTGACCCGGAGTTCCTGTTCCAATGCCAGACAATCCAGTCCTCCTCATATGTATCTGTGTTCCCCAGAGCCTCGCCTTGGTGCTGGAGCTAGAGGAAGCAGGACCTTATAAGTTCAGTTCATGGTGCCAGTCTTTTTAAGAGGAACAGCTAGGTCTCCAGTAGCCTCTGTGTCACTGAGCCCCAATCCACACTGGTTTTTACAGCCCAAAGTTGTTCTGCCCATAAGGACTTCTTTTCTCAGCTCTGGGACCCTGGCTGAGTGCCTGGTGTGGGGCTGGGACCCCTTGCTCCTTTGGGTGGCCTTCATAGAAAAGATCTCCCTCCCAATTAAAAAAGCTGTACATGTGGGTGTCAGACCAGCTCATTCCACCCCTCTGCACCAGTCTCCATGTTCTTCCTTCTTTATTTCTCTAGTTACAGGACTTCCATTCAGCCAGCTTTCCAGCGGTTCTAGATGATGGTGGTTCTGTATTTAGTTGTAATTTTGATGTGATTATGGGAGGCAGCGAGTACAGGTATTTACCTACACCACCAATCTTGTCCTTCTTAAGAGGAAATTTATCTACTCTCTCTCTTTCCATGGCTGTATGGGGTCAAGTATCTCTCTGCCCGTCCCAGGGGACTTGGGCATCATCCCGCCAATGGGCTTTTTCACTGCACTTAGATGTGGTGGTGTGGGTCATTGAGTTGAATTGAGCTGAAAAACACCCATCCTCTGGAGATTAGTTTCCCCTAGAAACAGCATGTGAAATAAAAATTCAGTTTGGTTTCTTACCCACTCAGATCCCATGATTGATGGGGTGGTTTGGCTTGTTTTGCCCTGTATGACACCCTCTTGTCAGGGGCCCTACACGTGGAAATAGTCTGTTGCTGAGGAGACCTCAAGAACATAATTTCTTTCAGCTGCAGGAAGCGGTTTCCTTCCCACACCCCACCCAGTGCCTCCTACTCAAGTCACCCCTGCAGTTCTGTTTTCTTGGACACAGCGCCAGTAGGCCCTACTGTGTGCCAGCCTTGCCCCAATGCACTGGGGATAATGACAGGTTAGAGCAGAGTCTTCCTCCAACTCAGGGCTAGACAGACCTCACCAGGGGGAGGCACTGGTGACTTGGGCCCTCACAGCAGCACACCTGGCCTGCAGTTGCCCAGCTTCTTTCTGGGATCCTCCCTATTCTTTAAGTGTTGGTACAAATGTCATCTCCTTAACATAGGCTCTCCCTCCTGCCCCTGCCTCTCT